AAACCATTTCAGGTGACTACCTCTTGAAGCTCATGGAGAGAATGCCAAGAGTGTGCAAAGCAGTAATCAGAGCAAAGGGTGGCTATTTTGAAGAAACTAGAATATAAAACATGTTTTCAGTTATTTCACCTTTTTTTGTTAAGTACATAACTCCACATGTGTTCATTCATAGTTTTGATGCCTTCAGTGAGAATCTACAATGTAAATAGTCATGAAAATAAAGAAAACGCATTGAATGAGAAGGTGTGTCCAAACTTTTGGCCTGTACTGTATATATATATATATATGTACATTCCATGGAATACCTATCTTTATATATAGCACTTCATAAATCTCATTGTTTGTTTTTTCTCATACTCAGTGCTATTTTCAATTAAAAAAATGTATGTAATAAATTACATTACATACATCTTTATATTTAGCATTTTGTTAAATCTCACCCTGTAAAAAAAAGTTGTTTTTTTGTTGGATAATTAATTTAATTTTTTTTAACACCAACCAGAATTTTTTCCTTAATTTTCTCACTTTTTTCCCCCCTCAAACTCATTACTACTTTATATTAAAATAAATCCAAATTACGTGGAATACTTACCTCTATACACAGCACTTATTGAACCTCGCCCTGTCGAAAACAAAAATCTATTAATTTTATTTTAACACCAAACTTATTTTTTCCTTTGATTTCCTCACATTTGTTTTTCCTAAAACTCATCTTCTATTAATACATATATAAATTACATGAAATACTTCTCTTTATATGAAGTACATCCCCTCAAAACTTTTTTTTGTAAAATCTTTTATTTTTTTTAACAGCAAACTTTAAATTTTTTTTGCTCTCACATTTATTGTTGTTTTTCGTCAAACCCAGTGCTATTTTATATTAATATATAAATTACATGGAATACTTATCTTTACATATAAATCTCACCCTGTCTGATATTTTTTATCAGTAAACTTGATTATTTTCCTTAACTTTCTCACATGTTTCTGTTTTCCCTTAGGCTCAGTACTTTAAAATACATCTTAATGTCTTAAATACGCTGATGAAGGGATTTTCACTGATCACATAAGACGTGGATTTCACAGAGACTTTTGGCGGTTGATAACAGCACCATCTGCTGTGGAGTGTTTGTCACTCCCACACAAGATCTGGAGGTTGGAGGGAAGGATTCATACCAACAATCTGCTGTTTCGACACACACTGCACAAACCTCTCCATTAGTCATGTGTGCATTTTTAGGAAAAAACAAAACAAAAAAAGACATGATGAGCAAAATTACAGTTCTTTTAATTGCAGTGAGGAATGAAGAACAATACACTGCACGGTGTTGTGCAAGTTAAAGCTTCAGTATGAGCAGCATTTGTTTCGTACGAGGCAGTGTTGGGGAGAGGTGAACAACACGTCATCAAACCAGCAGTTTAATTACAGTTTGCAGGAGCTTGCTGGTAGTTCAACTACAGTCATATTTGCACTGTGATTCAAGTAGTTAAATTACGTTGTTTTTTTTTTTGTTTTGTTTTTTTGGCCATTTTTTAAGTTAGTTACTAAAACTACAAACTATTTTGGGCCACAAAAAGAAGGGAATGATTTTTTACTTTTATTTTATCATTATCTCTCTCCTGTAATTGAACCCTATTTGACCATAATTAGCCATAAGTATTGTTTCTACTATTTTTCCCCGTTAAAGGGACTTTTTGGGCAGTTTTTCCTCATCCACTGTGAGGGTCCAAAGGACAGAGGGATGTCGTATGCTGTAAAGCCCTGTGAGGCAAATTGTGATTTTTGATATTGGGCTTTATAAATAAAATTGATTGATTGAAACTGATCATTGCTTTTTGTTAACAAATGTTAATAAGAGAAGGGGAACTGCCCATTGGTCCGACCATATTAAACCCATTGTTCCGAAGTCCGTTCCGACATCATCATGATGCCCTGTGGTTAAGGTCTGGTTAGGTTTAGGCACAAAAACCACTTGGTTAGGGTCAGGAAAAGATCATGGTGTGGGTTAAAATGAAAAAGAAAGTGACAAACACATAAGCTGTGAGCCTGCTCCGCCTCAAGCCTTTCCCAGCTGACCCAGAGCCGGTCGCGGAGCACCATCAAGGTAGAACTACGCCCGCCGGGAGCCGTTCAGCACCACGGACCGTCAGACTAATGGGATGTTGGACCAATGACATGGACCCCAGAGAAGTTGTTGGGTGCTTCACCAGAAGTTACCTGACTAACTGAGAAATCCTATTTGGTACAACATCACGTCCTACACTCTAGTTTCTTAAAGCAGGTGTCAAACTGATGGACATTGGATACAAAACCAAAACTGACATTCCTGTGAACAGTTGGAAACTTTCTGCAATAAACTCAGTTGAGTGGCATTTTTTGCTGATGCGACTTAAATATTTTGTTATAATTACGTACGATACACATTGGAACTGTCATCATTTTTTACAAAGTAGATTTAACTACTTTTTTTGAAGGACTGTCTCCAGTACCAGTTTTGTGGCTTTGAAGAAATATTCATGTTTTTTGAAACATCAGTTTTCAGTCGTTGCTAACATGCAGGCTGCAGTAACATTAATAACTTGAAAAAGAAACTGTTACTTACAGCTTTCAGGGGATTTGCCAAGCTGGTGGTAGATCAGTGATGCACCATTTTCCTTTAACATATCTGGCACTTGACTTTTTGGGGGTCATCTTTGTAAAGTTTAAAACTATTTTGACTTTGTCGACATCTTGCTAGCGAATCTGTAAGTCTGTCACTGGTGGTCAAACTGTTGGAGTCGCCAAACTAGGCCTCTCACTAAGTTTAAATGTCCTCGTCTAAGAATAACTAATAGTTTATTTTGATGCATAAGCCGTTAGGTTGGATTACTACTTCTTAATTTATGGGCTGTTTGGGATTTTCAGCATTATGGTGTAAAAAAACAAAAACAAAACCAGAGCATTTGAATACTGATTAAGGCACTGATTAGCATGGCAAGGATCCAACCTTCAGTCCTATTTTTTTCTAAGCAGCTTTAGTAAACCAAATTCCATTTCTCCCTGCGGTAGCTTTGCTGTAGTTTTTCCAGTGTGAAGTAATTGGCAGCTTTCAAAGTTTTGCTTCCCCAACACTGATAAGAGGTATATGTTGCATAGTAGAGGCATAAAATAAAATAATTTACACAGTGGTTCAGGTGACATATAAAAATGTTAATTCATTAGTACTTTAATTAGCAGTGCAGCACCTCTGTTATAACAGCACAGACCAGTGGTTCTCAAACTGTTGGGGGGGGGTCACAGAGCCTGTGCAGGTGGGGCTGATGATCAGGGGGAAATATGGAGTGAAACAAAGTTGGATGAATATGACTTATGTGGGGAAATAAACAAGAGCCTGGTGATGCTATTATGCTGATGTTTGTTTCACTATAATTCAACATGGATCCTTCTTATAAGCTGCTTCCCCAGTTATTGTTCATGATTAATTAACAATTCAGCTTGTGGGGGGGGGGGGGGGCATGACAGACAAAGTTTGAGAACCACTGGTGTGGACGTAAGCACAGAAGATTTTTATAAAGAGAGAAATGCACCATTTGATAAAAAGCACCAGGTGAGCACCTTGCCTTGTCTTATGGCTGAATGATGAACAGTCATCAACAGACTTCAACCAGCTGCAGATAAAAAGTGAATGAAGCAGAAGCTGGAACAATGACTGTTTCTCCACACACAGATGAAAGTGTACAAAGTGTTAAAGGTGATTAAAATATGCTACTAAGGAATTACGTCAACAATTATGACTTCAAAGGCTAAAATTCAGTCGGGTTCTTCTTGTGTCGACTCAGTCGGCCTTCCTCTTGATGGTGAGCAGCTGAGTGAAGCTCTGCAGAGCCCAGTACAGCAGAGAGAGGGAGACAAAGGCCTGGACAACACAGACAGAGAGGAGAGGTCACAATCAGGGGCTGTAGTCACAAAGCCTGCGGGTACAAAGAGTTTCTCCTGGTGATGAAACTCCAGGAAATTTTTAGCAAATATTTTCCCCTAAAATTAAGACAAGATCCTGGTAAAGATACAAACATCTTAGCCCTTAAGAGAGCGCCTGAGGTGTGTTAGGACTAAAGAGTGAGAGGCTCATGAGTTTCTTATGTAGAAGAGCAAATGGTGGAAAGACAAAAAAAAAAAAAAAAAATTCTCCAATCACTGGATGACAGTGAGTTAATGAAACGCTACAGATCAGATGGTGCAGGGATAACGTCTGTGGTCGATCTCATCGGAGACGTGCTCACATCTCCCACCCACTCCAATAACGCTGTGACACCAGATATGAATGTGATCACAACTCTCAGCATCGGAAATAAACCTAAGCACATAAATGCAACTACAGGCTGCTGCCCAAGTACGCCTATGATTTTTAAACATTCTACAGGCTTTAAAGTGTGGCTTACATTTTATTCAACAGCGATGTTCACTACATAAAACAGCTCTCATAATTACACCATGTCTTAATAGAGACTAAATTCTACGATCAGGCCGACTGACTTCACTGTTCATTATGACTAAGAGGGCACAGGGGTCGACCACACCTCCTCACTAAGCTAAATGTTTCTGTCTCTTCCTCGTTCAGAACCCCTCTGAGAATTTTCCTGACTCACTCCTAAACCAGGACTCTTGTTAAAATTTTTAGTCTGAGTTAGGAGCTCTCTGAAAGTGTTCTCAAAATGTTTGTGAATAATCAAAATAAAGGCTGCGACACCTTTACAGAGACTCAGAATATGAAGATTTGCTCATTCAGCCGAGGTGACGAGTCAAGTGTTATCTAAGCAATAGAAATAAGCAGCTGCTCTGCTCTCTGAGCGAGGACCAAAATCTGTTTGTAGGTCTGTGAAAGTGTTAACGAGCTAACAGCTCCAGTTTGAGGGTGGTCTTGTTACACAATGTTGTGTCTGTATTAATAAAGATATTTTATTAAAACTCAGATGTCTGACTGCAACTAAAAATGATTTAGACTATCAATTAATATGCCAAATATTTTTATTATTTTAATTGATTCGGGGCTCAAACAGTCATGAAATTCCTGGAAAAATTATGAACTTAGACAAACTGTTTTCCAGGCCTGCAAAAGTTTTGAATTTACATTGTTTTGTTTTATTGTTTAAAATGTTAATAAAAATCCCAAAACAAGTATGTAATGTTATGATATAATGTTACAGAAAATACATTCCCTGTATTACTCATTTAAGAATTAGTGCTGCACTGCGTGACCGTTGATACGTCACTAGTAACTAATAGCAGGAATGTCTAACAAGCGAGGAGCTAGCAGTGTGCTCATCCACAGATGCCCGGGAAGTGCATGTTTAATAATGTGTGGCTGTATCCCTATAAAGATCCGCCCATTTTAAAATACTTTAATAAATTCATGGAAAAATATCATGGAAAAGTTAAGGGAAAATTTTGAAAATTGTCCAACTAAGGGACTGATTGCTATTTATGAGGAGGGAGGGGAAGAGGACTCGGGAGAGACTTAAGTGTTTTATTTTGGCTTAGGGGAGGTGCACACAAATTTAAATGGTTGTATTTTGTAATCATTTTACTTAAGATTGTTTGGAAGGCATGCTTTCTTTAAAAATCACCAAAATGACAATATTTATCACAGCCAGAAACTGTGAAAAGAGAAATTATTGTTGGATTTTCAAATTTCCAACGGTCCTTGAACACCTCATGTGCAATGAAACGCTTCTGTGAAAAAATAAAATAAAAAAATAAGAAAATCTGATCAAAATCACTTTATTTTATGTCTCTTTTAAAATGTGGCCAAAAATAAACCATTCGCACAAACTAACCAGTGAAGAACTAAGGCTTTTATTAACTCCAGGATTTCAACTTTCAAGTTTCGAACATCAAAGTGTACGTTTTAAAAATCTAATAACTAATTTGTGGTGGAGGGAAGGTCGTGCATTTTCTGCTCGTCACTCAGAGAGGCTCAAGGAAAAACCCTCCTCTTCTGATAAATAAAGAACAGTACCTAATAGTCTAAAGATTTTTAATTTATCTTCACTGAAAATCAACACATTAATATCTGAGAAGTTTGAACCAGTGAAAATTTGGCATTTTTGCAAAAGAAAAACAATCATCAAAATTTCTGATGATGTCTCTGACTGATCGACTAATTGTATATATATATAGTGACTAATATAGTGACTGTTTTAAAGGCTGCGTTACAATAAAATGATGTAATTACCTAAACATTATAGACTGTAGTAGCTGTGCTATTATTTGCCTTCACCCACTGAGTCATTAAATCCACATTACTGATTAGAATCTATCAGAAATATCACTGTGAATATTCTGTGTAAGCACCAATAATCAACCCAACAATATGGCCGCAATGCTGATATCGAGGTATTTGGTAAAAAAAAATATTGTGATACTGGATTCTCTCCATATGCCCAGCCCTGATTAATTATATATTTTTTTTTCAAAAATAATTATTTAATTAAAGGCCAGCTTCTATAAAATGAGGCTCACCCTGACTTTAGGTGCTTCCCACCATTTCTTAAAATTAAATGTTTTCTTCAGACTGATAAGAAATTATTGGATTGGATATTCACTCAATTTAAAAACCTCTATATTGTCCTTGTTTATATTGTATGACATGTTGATATGAATGTTTTAGTACATAACACTGATCTGACTCATCCCCTTCGAGATGTAGTAATGCACTTACTCTAACTTCTTCTGGATAACAGCGTTCACTAAACTGCATCATGCTACGCTGAGTAAAAGCAAGCTGGATAATTATGACCCAAGAAGAACCCATAAAAAGTGTGGCAGGTATCATTTATGACCAGCGAACACAAACAGTGAAAGTAAATCTCTAATTGAAAGAAAACAGCGAGAGCCTCAGGACGATGGAGAAAGTGGGCCCAGAGGTTAAGGACCGGGTCTTCTCCCCTGATGCTCTCACGACGAGGTCAAAGAGGTCACTGTCATGGGGGACCTCGCTATTCCAAGAGGGCTGGAGAGGGGTGGGGGGGCTCAGCCAGAAACCGCCCTCGCCTCCACCCCTTGCTGCGTTCTGGCCCATAAACTGCATCCTACATTGCAGCTCAAGCCAAAACCAGACCGCTGTCCATCACAGGCAGAACAGCCTGATGGGAAAAAAAGCAGTGTTTCCTCCAGGACACGGCAGCTGTTTTCCTCTGAGAGAGACTCGGAGAGAGAATAACACAGACCGCTCTCTGCTTTTCTACCTCGCAATACCTGAACAGCACCTCCCCGCTGAGAGAGAATAAAAGGAACTTATCGAGGGTGTTTTCTGCTGGCGCTGATCTGCTAAACATTTCCACTTCACTGCATCCAGATGCTGAATAATACATTCAAATAACATTTATATTTCTGTAGCTCTAAACTCCAAATCAACCACAAACAGGATCAATCTCAACATTAGGTTATACGATAATATCTTTAGTTATAAAGCTCTTCTCAAAACAGAGTTACAGAGTGCTTTACAAAGAGCTCATAAAAACACTTCTGTCCATAAAAACTGAGGAAATAAAAGACTAAATGAACTTAAAAGTCAAGTAAAACCAGGAAAGGCTCTCAGATAAAAGTATATTTTAAGAAGGGACTTAAAAGAGATCACTGACTCGACTAGCAGCGCTGGTTATCCCCTGCGTGCTCCGCCACCCGCTGGCTGCGTTCGCTGTGCGGAGCGGTACTTGTTACTAACGGCGAATTTTATAAATTAAACTACTAAAATACTTCAGATTAGCTTCACCTCGATCAACTGCAACATTAAAATCCTTTTTACACATAGCTAATAATGCAACAATAAATATTTTTCTGCTTTGATGACTTTTACTTTGATACTATAAGAATATTTAGCAGTTATCAATACTTTTATTAAGCAAGAACTTTTAAATGGAATATTTTTACATTACGATATTGTTGCTTCTACTTGAATTAAAAGCACAGGATCTGAATATCCCATTGTAACAACACAGACACGGATGGCTGTAAAAGTTAATTAGATAATGAAGGCATCTTTTTTTTAAACAAAACTACACTGGGAATAGACTTAAAAGACACAATATAATTAAGAGCATAATTTCCAATATTTATTATAAATGGAATTTTACCATTGTATCGTTCACAGAAAGTTTCAGGAAGAAATCCGCTTTAAAAAATGTTTTTTAGGCCGATAACAGCAGCTGCTTCTTTAGTTATATTCAGTGTTTCTATGGTAACATGAGCCTTTCCAGCAGGTTTCCTAAGGGTTGTGGGTAGTGTAGTTTCTCACAAAGAAATTAAGAATAAAAGTAAAGACAAATAAACATCACACTGACATGCCTACTGGAACTCACTGGATGAAGCAGTTTCACAGCCGGCTGCTCCTCATAAGCCGCCTTCATACAGTTTCAACATGACGGCTAAAAGTCTAAATTCACTGAAGGAAAAACAGATGGAAGATTACAAATACATGAAGTTGCATTGTGTCCATCTTGGAGACGGATTGGGATCGAGAAGCTTGGCAGAACCTCGCAAATCAAATTTCGCTCAAACAGAGCGAAACATGACAGACGTTTCTATCAAAGCCGCATGTTGAGGCAAAGGAAGGGCACCTATTTTTCTCTGCTCCCATCTCTCTTCATTCAGCCACACTACGCTACATTTTAATGGACTCTGTAGGAAATCCATGTGGGACAGATTACATCGTGGAAGGAAGCGGGTTTGATCGTCTACAAATAAGCACTACGGCCTGACGGCAGCGGCTCCCAAAGTAGAGATCTCAGCAAATCGACTCACACTCACTTTGTTTTGGGCAGAAGGTACTTTGTTAAGGGGAGTAATACAGAAAGCCACAGACATGTGGTTTTTGATTTTCTCTGCCTCTTTGTTGAACTTCACGTACTCAGGGGAGAC